AATTAATACGTCATAGTGGTGGGGGGAGGCCGAGAATCAGCTGTAAACAACTACTTACGATATATAATTCAAAAACTGAAATATCATTGTAAAAAAATTTACGACATGGCAGTACATTGTGTATACACGTGCCAGATTTATTATATTCAAGTAACACTTCATTGTGTAATGTCTGTCTGATGACTGTGTAGTGAGAAAATAAATATTTCCATATCCTACTATGTAGGAACGTTAGAAAAGATGAGTATTTCGAGTTTTCTTTCCGAAAATTGCATCTTCCATTGTGCTGCACTACTCATACTGGTCGAACTCAAAACTGAATTGTGTGTGGGAATAGAAGGCGGAAAACAAAAAATTCCACATATAAAAATGATATTATGAACACCCACGAAAACAGTTTGGATGTTGATATATTGCCTGATATATCTTCGAACCGTGTGTGGGTTTTGTGTATCATGATGAGCCGCTATTTTTGTGTAATCAATATTTCAAATGAACTTGCATTAACAATAAAAATGTATCCAAGTGTAACTAAACATTGGAATCGATTCTAATGTCTAGTTAGATCCGAAAATATGAATATCCCTTGTGTTTACCTTAATCGACAGAAATTTCCAAAATTAGAACAATATTCGATATGACAATCATGCTATCTTTGCAAATTATTGGTAGGTAATTTCTCTTTTCCAGTCATGAAAGTCTCATTTATCATAGACAAAAATATATTGGAAACAATAATCAGAAACTGATGATATCAACACGATTTTTTACGGAAAGTGTTCAAGTGACTTGGCACTTTTGATTCCACCAAGAGCGGTACATATAAGAAATACGCGACGGACTGTGGCTGCTCATCGTTTTGAGGTTCAACTCAGTAGACCTTGAACTTCATTGTTTAAGAACTCTTTCATCTGGAAATCTGCGTTCATGTGGAATGAACTTCCTGAGAACTTTTTTCCAAATGGATTTAATCTCCAGCGATTCAAATCAAATATGAATCACTACTTTCGCACAGGCACCGCTCTTAGAGCGCCTTAAGGATTGTCCTGTAGTGCTTGTGTATCCCAAGAAAAATGAACAATAATTAATAGGCGAGTATTTCATGATATATAAAATTATGACTAGTGTTTGCTTGAGCCTATTTTGTTTTTGAAGGATCTGTGCAAATATTACTGAACCATTATACAGGTCGTGTTTTTAGCTGAATCCACTATTGATATCTCAGAAGAGGTAACACCTATAAGGTTGATTGAATTGGCCAAAAGTTTCCTATTTTGAAGAACTAGAATAATATTTTTTCAGATCGAGGATATGAGTTTGAATTGACAGAATATGTATAATTGTCAAATTGTCTGTCGAGTAGGTAAATAATCATTCGATTCGTAACCTGACCTGACCCTTCTGGTCTTTCCATTGTGGGGCTTCATTGAAGACAAAGCTCAACTTTTAGCAATATTGACGAATTTAAAGAAACTATAAGGAGGGCTTGCATAGTTACAACTTCACATATGCTAGAAAATTATCATAAAAATACTATTGCAACAGCGAATATGTGTTTAAGGAACGATGGACGGCAATTTGAACATTTAATGAAATATCGTGCACGACGTAGATGGTTAGGAGTATTTTGCCACCAATTTTCTTCTGTTTGTTGCTTTGTATAACATGTTCTCCCGATATGTGGAGTCTATGTATAGCTTTGAGTTCTAGATCCAAAAAAATATAAGTCCCTTGTAGCTCTGACCGGTAATTATATGACCATACAGTGATGATGAGAGAAACGAGAGGGAAAACACATCTATAGTTGAATTAATTTTATCACAGTGGCTACAAAAACCGACGAAAATAACTAAAAGTTGATGATGAAATGTAATGAACGAAACGTCGCATTGTAAACTGGTTCATTGCAGATCCTAACAAATGTGAATTAGTATTGAAAGTTATATCATTTGAAATGAATGCGGTAGAACGAGAAACCGAAATTCGACAATTCTAGTTATCGGCGAATATTTCAAAAACAACCACTGATATTCTCGAACTGAAAAGAGATTATTCTAGTTACCGTTTCCGAGATAGCAATAGTGGGTTCAGTTCAAGTTCAAGAACTCTTCATGACGTTTTTATGGTCGAAAAAATCAATTCGTAGGCTCACATAAAAACCCCGTTGCTATGAAATTCTCGTTTTGTAACCCGATTATTATTTGCTTCGTAGCAAGAACGTGTTAAATTGCTTTTATGCTCTGTCTCTCATTTTAATGATATGTCTAATTGCTTTCCACTTCGTAAATATAATTGTCAACATGTGGCACGATAATTTATCTGGGTGAAAAGAAATAGTAATGAATTAATGAACTACTTCGGTGATCATTTATCTCAAGAATTTAGTTATTCTGTACTCTTGATTTTAGTAATTCATGTTTAAAATATTAATTTCGTAATCACTCATCTGAGATTAATTTCAGTAATCCAAGCATTCCAGAGAATGTTCATAAAATATAAACAATTTGTCTAAATCGATCTAAATCGAATGTTTATTTTATTAAAAGTAGAGAAATTCCATTGATAACTAGTGTAATAAATTTTACTTGTGAATTGGTAAAGAAAAAGCTGTAAATAATCATATTTATCACAATTTCTTTTTGGCGAACATAAAATATTTGGTGATCGTAATCTTGGATATTTTTAAATAAACTGAATTTATACACCATTCGTGAGAATCCATCTCATATATGCTTATTTCTAATGACTGAAAACCTGCATGTTACAGTGAACGAATGTATACATACATTGTCCTATGGGTTTCTCCAATAACTTGCATGTTCAACTGTCTTCAAAAACATTTTGCAGCGTTGTATTTTTTCGCCATAAAGACATATGATAAATATCATCAGCATCCTGATGCAAATCACCCAAGAAATCGCTTTACTCAGTCGGATTCGGAACAGATTTTTTGGTTACTTTCAGAAAGTAACTGCTTGTTCGGATATTGTTGATTGATGTAATTCTTGAATTTGTGTGATCCGTCTCAGGATATGATATATGTACATTTTGTTATTGATCGATGGAAGAAAACATTCAGTCCAACTTCTTGGCAACAGTAATTTCAAAGTATAAGCACGTACTTTGCGACACAGGGGCGTAGGCTAAATTAGGTTTTCGTAGGATTTTAAAATGTATGGAAAGCTCGCGACTATCGAATTTGAATTTACAAGGTGATTCCTGGAGATTTACCATCAAATTAACTTTTCGTGACATTCTATAAGATTGATGTATATTCGGCTCATGTTTGATAGGTTTTTATATTTCAGGCTCGCTTATAGGATTTTGACCCATTTTCTTTGTTACAGAAATTACAAACGATCAGTGAGGACTTCTGCGGTCTAGATGTGAATACGCCTTTAGGTGGAGAACAGGCAGTGTCTGCAGTTCCAGTTCTTCTTTTCAATACTCGTTTGACAGCAGTGGTAGCCACCTCTACCGGAGATTTCACTGTTGTCTTCATTGGCACGTCTACTGGCCATTTGAAAAAGGTAAGGAAATATATATGATGTTCAAATTTCTATCTGTCTCTAATTTCCCACAATTAAATTTCAAAGACTACCTAATTCTTCAAGTCATAAATAATATCTTTATTAAGAAATGGAATTATTTTGTAGCAGATAATAATTTTTGGGAAACAACTTTTTGTTTTCAACTTTCCTTATATAGGTATGTATATTTCTATAACACTGAAAAATAAATAACAGTTTATCTATATTCTCTTAAAGTCATCTTCAGTTAATATACACATACGCATCGGCTTCGAAGCAAGAAATGTACCAAGAACTATGTTATGTATATATTTCTTTACAATTTCATCAAATTAGGGGAAGTCAGAAAAATCTGAAGTTTTTGAAATATTGTGAAATATGCAAAATTACAAACAGATCCAGCTTGACATTGACACTATGTTGTCTGTATAGTCTGTATACATCTATTGATTAAGGGAATCGCTCTCATCTTGTCTTGAGTGTGTTATTACTCCACTAGTTATGACATTTCAGTATACTTCTGCAAACTAGTCAATCATGTGTATATTATACTTTACGAGTTTCATCAATCTTTGCTTTCATTACATCATTGAAACCAGTAGTAAACACTCTCTCCATTCGCGATATTAACTGTATACCATTCATTCTATGATTTTATAGACTGTTTTGTAAGTATCTTAATATTTCAATAGGAGTTCCACAGGGAACGATCTTGGCCCCTATACTTTTTTTATGTATGCAAACAGTATTGAATATTACTGGAGTTCTGTCACAACACCAAATCGTCATTTTTAACACTTTTCAACACAGCGAACCCGTCGCCTCGGATTTTCCTGCACACTTTCACAGACAGCGGCAATGTTTTTGGCAGATCTTGCCTTTCGTCGATGTACGGGTGTTGGTCGATCGTTTACTGAACCAGTGCCATCGTCGAGAACGCGACCCGAACGCGGGCAGACGTCGTTGACGGTTGTGTTAGTTTTGCAAATTTCTTTGTAGGTAAAATATTTCGATTCTCGAAGCTATTCACTACTCAATGCAGTTGGCATATTTTTTTAGTTACTATATTTTAGAAGTAAAAATATAAATTACTAGATGTTGCCCGATCTTATGTTAACGTTCAGCTGAAACTACTGAACCTAGGATCTTGAAATGAGCAGGTAGGTTCTTTGTATAGCGTAAATAAGCGAATGTTTCTCTATCTCCTGAAGACGTCAACTTGGTTGATGAAACACGCGTCGAGAAAAGTATTGAAGTTATGCTGATTGGGAGAAGTGCTTTTTTTGGAAATCTGAAAAAAAAATTAATGAAACTGAGTTTCAAAATAAATGAAAAGTTTGATATACCAATCGTAATATTGCAAATGGGTGGATAAATTGCCACTGAGAGTAAGTAAGACTTGCAATTATTTCAGAAGGATATATTCAACGTTCAGATGCGTTCTTAACTGATTATATTGTAGCGGTAAACATTTAATCATGATAAGATACTTTACCCTAATAGGATTGAAGGGGATTCAATCACTTAAAAAATATCTATGGGTTCTAGTGTGTTTATGTAAACATCCGAGATGTGGATTATTGTTCTGTTTTGTTAATGCAATAAAATATGAAGTGCATTTCATAATGCAGTTCATATTTTATTTTTAAATAGTGTAGGTGAATGAGAATACAATATGTAGGTAACTTGCTTTTGACATATACAGTGTCACCATTAAAGTGCGTACCATATGGGAAACTTTTTTTTCGAAAAGTTTCAATGAAGTTTAACTTCGGCACTTGTTTGTGCTTTGAATTCAACTTAAAATGATGCGGCCAACTGCGACCCACTGACGTTCAGTGTTTGTCAAATTCAACTTTTTTTTTT